GCAGTGCCGCGTCAATTCCCCGCAGTCGCGGCATTTTCTCCGGGCCCCATTGACAGATAATGCATTGGCGTATGTCCAGAACGGCCGCACTATGGCGGTTCGTCGGACCTCAATTTAGGGAACATGCAGGACAAAAAAAATCTCTTGCACCCACTTGTCCCCGGTCACTTTCATGAAGGGCCTGAAAGAAAACGAACGAAAACGGCCACCTGCCTAGGCAAATTTGTTTTTTTAGCCCAAATCGAAACCGGGTTAAAAGTACTCCGCTGTTGTTGGACACGATGTGATTATGCAGTTGACGGGTCATGTTTCTGCCCGAAGGACTCCTAACCATGCCAAGAAAACATTTCTGTTTGTCGTGACAATGCTACGAATGAAGATCAATTGGTACACAGCACATCACGGCTCTAGGATCCACGAAAATCACTTAGTTTATCGGACGGCGCACATCACATCGCGAAATGCTACTGTTCAGGGTGATGGACATATTTTGAGGCAATATGAATACGAATAAAATGCCGTGTTTTCAGGCTGCCAACCCGAAGTCCGGAACGAGATTTTTTATAATGTAAGACAACGTTTCGACGAAACTGAATACTTGTAGTGGGAACATTTTGGGATATGGACTCTGTTTGCGGCAATGACCCGTTGTTGTAGGGTCGTTCAAATACTCAGCCCAAGAGAAGGGGCCAAAAGCCCGAGGATTCATAAATTAGTTAGGAAACAAATTATTTATTGCCATACACCGGAACGCCGTTGGCGTCTAAGAATGACAGGGCCAAATACGCCGTTCTTTCCACTGAGCGGCGGAAATTCGAGGACAAGAGTTCAGAAGGCTTTGGCAGGCGGCGTATAGATGAACCATATGAAAATCGAAATATTGCTTGATCCTCAGATCACAGGAAGGGGTGAAAAGAGAATCCCAGTTCCTGAATGACAACGCCGTCAGTATCGACAGTCGCAGTGAAGAAAAGAATAAGAGACACACCGACCTTCACCCATCCCATCCTCACTGTACGATATGCGTCACGGACCGCCGACCCAAATTGGAAGAAAGGGGAAAAAAATCCCGCTTTTGAATCTAGAACAGATCGTCAGGGTACAGAACGTGAAAGAGAACAGGCGACACACCAAGGATCCTACACTGACGATCTTGTACGCGTCGTCAACTGCGATCTCTGTCCTAACGGGAGGATCGCGCGCCCACGGGGATATAGCGCTACTCGTGCAAGCGCAGCGCAGCCCGATGTCGCGAGTATGCGAGTCTGCGCTCTCCATTTCCCAGCACTGCCCTCCCTCCGCTTCTCGTGCGTTTGGAACGGATGTTACGAGGGACGGTGCGGTGGGGAAGGAGGAAGTGCCTGAAGACGCGCGCGTCCTCCGTGACGGTGGGCAGAGTAGGGGGTTGATGGGGATGGGAACTGAATCGTGCGTTTCGTGACACTGCGCGTTCTCATCCATAGCCACCCTCATGCGCACCTCGGGCACAGAGTGCAACGCGGAGAGGAGACGAGGAGCAGGACGTCGTTACCGGTCCCCAGGTCCTCCGCGCCACCGGGCCGAGCATCGTGGACGCGGGATTGGGTATCCGAGCGCGAATATGACGCCGCGCATGCACATGCACACCCTGCCTCCGCCTCCCACCTCCCACCCTCCACCGCGACGAGCTGAGCGCACATGCGTTGGACGGGAAATCCACCGCGCGCGTTCACGTCCAGTACATGTCCCGACGCCGAGGATGAATGGGAATGATGTGCGACAGAAGGTGCGAGGAGGGGGGATGTCATGACTAAAGACAATAGGGCCGATGGAGCAGCCCGCATACGCCGGGCGGGGAATCCACGCGCATGGACGCTACGCATTTGCGTCCGTCCCCCGCGCATGCAGACCTCGACATGAAAGGCAACGCGGCGGAGGCTTGGAGGAGGAGGTCTTCCCCGTCCCAGGAGGCGGATGGAGGCCGCGTGTTTTGGGCGAGGAATCCGTGGCGCGTACATTTTCCGACCATGCGGACCTCGAGTACGGAAGGGAGCGCGGCGGGGGCGAGCAACGTGCGTACGTGGGCAGCGAATCCACACGCGGACATGACCATCTGCGAGGCAGAGGAATCTGCCTAAGACGCTCGTGCGAATGGCAGCGCCCACTGCGGTGTTGCGTGGCATGCACAACGGGCACGAGAGGGAGTGCCTGATGGGGGGGAGGACGCTGAGGGGGCCTAGGAGAGAAAAGGGGAGGACGACGACGCTAGGTGAGTGGAAGCGGATCTGGCCGGATACTTGACGGTTCCACGCTGATGCACGCTGGAGATGAAGATGACGGCGGAGTAGTAGACGTAGCTGGATGTGGACAGAATGAAAGAGACGGCGTGGCTGTGCTGATCGACGGCGGATTAAATGCTTGCCTCCTGCGTCTTCGTTGTTCATTGGCTGGAGTCCATCGCTCGCGTTTCTAATCTTTCAACTCAAATCAAATCCCTCCGGATTCCCCAACTACCCAACTTTCAGCCCATTGACGCGCCGTTCCGCGCTTCGGGTAGATTTCTGCGTCGCACGCGTTCGCGTAAATTGGCCGGAAGCGTCTCAGGTTCGTCTCCCAGCAACTGAATAGATAGCCTGCAATTTTCACGGACAAATTGCATCATCCCGACCTCGCACTCCACTTCCCACAGTTTTACGAATGTCTCCAGTGCGTCGACAAATTCCACTCCTTCTGGGATCATTGCTGGTGTTCTTTCTAGATTAAGTAGTAATCTGGCAGGCTAACTCGCCCCTCACAATGCGCACACCGCTTGCGTCCTCCGCATTCTGGCGTGTTCTTGCTACAAATTATAATCATTGGGTGCTCCCAGTCTTTCGTTTCACTTCCAGTTTGATTGCTACTCAGACAAACTTTGCATCTGTTCTAAAATTTCTTCTGACCCGGCGCGGATTTCCTTCCAGCGGCGCTACGCCATTGCTTTTCGAAGGCTGGCGATCGCGTACCCCAAATGTCATGAATTTCGGAACAGGGTGAAGATTAGCGCTGAATTTTTACCGTCATGTTCTGGTTCGTGCATGTGTAGGCTTACCCGGTGCTTACTCTATTCTCTCTCATTTGGCTGTTTTTCCTAAAGGATTTTAAGATGCTTCCAGCACCGTCATGGCGCGTGTCCCGTCAACCGTCGCAGACACCGTCGCCTCGTTATAATACCATACCCTGCGCCGAGCTGCAGCACACCTCGCACGTCGTCAACTTGGGAGTAGGCTCGGGAACGGCGTCCTCGGCGTCTGATTATGCTGCGCGCTTGCCTGCTGTCTCGCCTTTTTTAACGATATTTCATTATTATGGGCCGCAGATCCTGATGTTATTTCATTTTCTTGCCGAGGTTCACCTCCCCCTTGCACCAGTTCGATCGCGCGCGTCCGAGCAGGGCTTTTTTTTAATTGAGAACTCCCGGGTCGCGTGTCATAGGCAGGGACATTGATATTTCCCGCTCGATATTGCGATACGTCGCTGCACCGACACCCAAAATTTAAATTGCGTACTCCCAGTGATACCTCCACCCGTACGCGCGGATCGAAACGCCGTAAACCTCCTCCTGCAAACGTCGCCTCCGCTCTCTCATTTCTCCCCGCTCCTCTAATCCTCCACCTCGTTAGAACTTCAGAGCTCAAGCTCAAACCAGCCGGACCTCGAACGTGACATCCAGGCTTTCTCGCAGCGAACACTGCCCGCGTTCTCCTCGCGGAATGAGGTGCGCACTGATGTCCGCGAATGTCGGTATGCAGTTTAATCCCTCTTCCGGTTGCATTGTTATTTTGGCGTCTGATCGGCGTTCGTGTTCGGGTACTGTCGGAAGCGCTGTTGAGGCGTGCGGAGGGATTGTGATATTCCCCACCCAGATATGTTCTTCAGTTTTAATTTGCTTTGCTCCCATCTTCGCCGTATGTGACGTTCCAGTCACCGCTGCGTCTCGCAAATCCTGACTGTTCATCCAGATGAATCCCGACCAACCGGTTTAGTTTCAACCTCAATAACAACCACAAGCCGGGAACACTCACATTGCTTTGTATCGTCAAGGCCGTCGGCGTCACCACAGACCTGCGATCGCTGGACGACTCATGATGCTCCGATCGGAGAAGAAGGGGTTGATCCACTCATGCCCTTGCCCATATGAACGAGCCCTGTGCGATCCGTACCATAAGAAGGCAGTCGGGGCCTTTGTAGTAATAACACCGTGACATCTGCGCCAGCCGTGCGTTGTTGGTTCCCGCACCGACGAGGCCCATGACAAAGATGGCGATGGCGAAGTCGTTGTCGTCTTTGACAGCGTGTCGAGGATGGGGAGTTGAGGGAGAGGCCGATAGCTAACGGCATGAATTTCCGAATAATCGGTTCGCTGTAGGTGCATCTAGCAAAATGAGGTCAAGGGAAGAACAACTCAGATTAGCGGTAAAACCGACCAGATGGTGGAATTGTCGTAATGGCATCTCAGCTCCGACGTCCTACATATGAACCCTCTTGGCACGGGGCCAGGAGTTAGGCAGCAGTATAGGCCGCAGCAAAAAGTGAGTCCAAGGCCCGATATCAACACAGATGCAGACATGCGGGGTCACATTGAGAAGGTTCAAACTGCCAGATTGCCACTGATTACTGTAACACGACAGAGAAAAAGGAAGGACACCAAATAGAAAGCCGGTGCGGGTGCGCAATACTTATCCCGACTCCCGAGTCTTCGCAAAGTTCAACTCGTTACTCGCAATTCGGAGACCAGACACACGCACAGTACAGGTCCAATGTCCATAGACCAAGCACCCTGATTATGACGGAACTGTGAACTTGCGAGGCTTCCTTAGCGAGGCTCCCTACGCTACGTATATCGACGAGGCCTGGTCAATTATATTTGAGCTAATAAAATTATTCCGGGTCTTAGCGGGCCGCCGTGCTCAGTGTTTCTTCATTTCGTCCGTCATCGAGGAAATCAATCCTGCGCTAATGGACGTCGCAGGGAGATGAGCAAAGACCTGGTGGCGAATGGTCCGCGCTTGCATTCTATACCACCTTGTAGTCCAAACGTATATGCGGGAGTCGCTCGTTCGAATCGGGCCCAGGTCATCACCCGTGTTCATCTTTGGAATTTCTTTCCCAACTTGACACTGTTTGCATTTCTGCAAGCTGCGGCTACGACTTGCATTCTATAGTTCACTTTCGGCACAATTTGTTTGGGTTAATCCAGGAACTGGTCCCGGATAATTTGTGCGCTCAACTGCCTCGTGGGCGATATTGATGTGCAGGAGGTGAACGCTTTTCTTTGCCATGAGTCCGCGTATGCTAACACCAACACCAAGCCCTCGCGCCGATGCTGGCACTCGAAAGGTGGTTCATTTCATTCCCTCAAGTCATATAATGTCTACAGGCTTCGTACGCCCGGTTTATTTGTCATCGACGAATTGGATTCTACGCTCATGGAGTTCGCAGCCAGAGACGCAAGGCCTGGTGGCGGATGGCCTGCGCCTGCGGTCAATTAAGAGTGAGAGTATCACTCACTTTTCTGCGGGAGGGGCTCGTTCGAATCGAGCCTGGGCCATGCATCCTTCACTCCCCAAGTGTTTTGTTCTCTCGGAAGATCACCGGACAGCACGGGCCGCCTGCTGATCATGAGCAGGCGACCGTTCATTTTAGACAAGATCAATGCCGATGCGTGCGCGGCTGGGCTCGGTCAGTAAGGTTCAGTATGCCCGGTTTGCGGATGGTTCGCGCCATCATCCAGTCAGAGCGTAGACGTATATATGCCGGAGTTACTCGTTCGACTCGAGCCTCGGGTATAGATCAAGATCTTTTTGTTTACACAATTTTTTTTAAAAAAAGCGGTTACGCTTGCTGGTGAGGGATGGAACTTACTCGTTTGGGGCTATCCTGCGCCATTATCATATTGAATACATCGCTGACAATGTCGGGCCAGAGGAGGGCTAATTTATATTTTAGCCGGAGGAAATGGTACATGTACGCAGTTACAAGACATATAATATATCGATGAAGCCTGGTCAATCGTACTTGAGCTAATCAATGATTCTGAATCTTATTTTGAGCGGCGAGTTCACTGAGCAATTTTTCCGAGAAAAAATGAATGCAGATGGCCGTGTGGACTCTTCCGGGCTCACAGGCGACTTCAAGGATAAATTTGACACAGATCGCGTGTATTCGGTCTGTCCCAGATCAAGACCCAATAGACGCATGGAATTCTGAGTCGAGACGTCTGATCTTTTATTTCACGGCCTTTTGAGCATGACGCGACGCAGCTGCGGCGAAATGGACCTCACACGCGATCGCGATTCAAACTCCGCTCGCATGTTTCTTCCTCCCGACTTTCAAGTCGTTTCTCCCCATTGCAACTCTGAATGAAGTTCCAATATTCTCTGTTTTTGCTAGACATATGGCTAGTTCATTTGGGTACCCAAATCAGCCACACATATAGCGAGCTACTAGTGGCTATGCCAGGACACAGCCATCGGTTTTGTACCATAAAACGGAGCGGCAAATGTATACTATTTCGACCAAATGTTCACGGGGTGTCACCTGTTACCTAAGGTGTTCACTTTCTTGGGTGTTCATTTCTCGGCAATCATGGGAAACTTACCATGTATGGTAGCCAGGTGAATGCCGGACCGGAATTTTTTTGCTGTTTTTCGGCCTATTTGGGCCTCAAAATTGGAATGTCACTGTCACCCAGGCTAAAAATGTTCAGTTCATGATCCTCTGTCACCCGTCACCTGAACATTTGGTCGAAATAGTACAGTAGTCTGTTACGCCAGCCACCTCTCTGAAGCTGCCCCCCCAGGATTTTGTTTTTCCTGAGGTTTGTGCAAGGAATCTGGTGGGTGGCCGTCGATGAAAAATGTGTATCAGAGGGGAGGAACCCACCCCAAATTTTTGGGGTTAACAGGATAACATCTAGCCTCACACCAAATATAGCAATGGGCTCTCCTGGCGCCGGGTCGATATTACTAGTCGGTGCAGGAATGGTTGCCTCACCTATAGCTTTCAAACGCATCCAGACTCAAGCAAATCCATTAAGAACTGATTGAGCAATGAGTGCACCAGGATACAGCTGGAAACACCTAGGGCCAATTTTTTCATGTCCCGAATTTTTGCAAAGTAGCTAAGATGGAGAGCGTGGGAACCCCGCACCCTTATGTAAGCCCGAATTGATGGCATTAATGGGCGGGCCTGGCGGGGTCGGGTGAAAAGTTAGCTCATAGATATTGTTCCTATCATCATTCTGAAGCGCTTCTATGAAAGATCTGAGTGCAAATATCAACTGGGGGGTCACTATAAAGACTTTTGTTTTTTTTTCAGAAAAGTGTTCCTATCTGCTTTTCACCTTGAACGGCACAGTTTTGAAAAAAATTGCGCAAAAGATTTGGAATGCACAGCCACCTCGGGCCGCCCTGGCACCAGCCGGCACCGCCCTTTGGTCATGTTGTGGTGACCCCAGCAACTTCAAACACGGTTTGCGATGGGTTCCACCAAGGTTTCCGAAGTTTTTGCAGAGTCTACCAAGGATCTGTAACGCTCAGTCGCATGAAATTCAGTCCCAGGAGCCTCATACAGGAGGGAAATAATCAAAATTTTCTCCAGAACCCAAGATTTGGAACCTCCCACAGTCACATGGTCTGATTTGTAAGGGTGCGGGGTTCCCACGCTCTCCATCTTATTGGTGATAGTATTGGGGTGAAGCCTGTCTTAAGCTCATTTGAACGCCGCTTTCGCCGAGAGAATCCGTTCAGACCTGAACGAGATATGAGCTTGGCAAGAGAGCGGATCAGAATTTTGCTGGTGTTTATTTTTTTCGCCGACTGTCATCAATTCTGCAAACGGCTGTAATATATCGCGACACACTGCAAGATATACATCGGATTCACGGCGATATAGTTGGGTCGACCCAAAGTTCTCCTCAGAACACAAGAGAGAAGGGCTGAATGACATTCTGACGGTTCTGGATCAGAACTGTGGTCATCATGGTGATTATATGTCCAATACATAGTCGCCAAAGATAACACATCTGCCAAAAAGAACTGAAACGATCAGGATGGTTCCTTGAAGACTGGAAATGGAATTGAACATCATGCCCAGGGTAAGCTAGTTCGGTGGAGACAGTCCAGCGACTACAATGAACTCATTTGTAGCTCTGATAGTGATAGTGACAATATGTATTGCACACAGCATGTCGGAGTTGGGCTGAGAACGAGGATGCGGGTCCCGCCTGCTGTGGTTTCAGGAACTCCGGAGTTTCTACTGAGCTTCAATCCCAGTTGTACCTTGATTCCTACCTCCGCACCGCGCTAGTCTTTGTTGAGCTCGGACCAGAATCGTCCCCTCGTCCCCACTGAAAATGAACTTACAAGCTTAAATTAAATTAAGGTCTCGCCTTCGGGCGAGCACTGGCCGAATTATTTTCCTACCGAGGAGATGAATTATCTTTGTCCCTGTTGACGACGTGGTTATCAGGCATAAAAGGGAAGATGATCCAACCAATAAAATACCAATTTTATAGATGTAGATTGTGAGAGATGGCAGCTCAAGGTTTTCTCAAATGCTCTTACCCCGGAGATTCTGATGAGTTGTGAGGTTCGGGTGCTTCAGAATCAACCCACAAAGATTGAGGCATCAGTCACTGCGTTCCCACCCGTCCTAGACTCAGCTGAGATCAAGTGCTGTAGGTTGTGCCAGATGGATTTAGGTCAGTGTTACGAGTCTTAAAATTTTATGTTTAAACTCGTTTGTTTTTGTGAGCCAGCAAGGTCGAAAATCGTCGATGATGTCACTATAATGTGTTGGTATCGTTTACTTTTATAGTAATTTTGGCGTCTCCATTAGGGTCATTTGGTAAACTGAGTTGGTCATAGTATTCCTTTTGTGATGTTAAATTGTTATCAATGCAACTGTAGATTTGTTGATGTGCTTAGGAGTCTCAACCAGTAATCGGCCTGTACTTAATTATGAGAGCGGGAATATTCAAACTGCAACAAGAAGCCTTGCGAGGCTCTTTTTTGCAACATACTGTACTATTAAATTCAATTCGTCAAGGGGTGTGACGCGTGACCCGAAATACCATTTCGTCAATTCGTCAAAGGGTCCCCAGCTGCGTGACAACCCCAAAAATTTCGTCAACCCCATTAAATATTCCAGGGGTTGCAAGACATGTAGAGTAAACCATTAGGATGACTTAGGAATCACCTGAGAAGTTTTATTTCAGCAAATCTGTCGAGCAGGAAAAAAATCCATTTTTCGCCGTTGAACTAGTGGTGGGACGGTTCGGTTCGGTTCAGGTTCAGGGCCCTTTTCTCTGAACGCCGAACCTGAACCTGACGTTCGGTTCGGGAAAATGCCGAACCTTGAACCTGAACCTGGCGTTCAGGTTCAACGCGTTCGGTTCGGCGTTCAACAGTGTTCGAACGCCGAACCGAACACCATTTTCGTGCCAAAATAAATTCATTCTAAAAATCGAAGCGACAAACTCTACCAAAAAATCATGCATCTTCGTCAGAATCATCGCCCTCTGTGTCGTATCCAAAGTCTGCATCCAGCTCTGCAATGAGGGCGTTGATGTGCTTGGCCGCAATAACTCCAGCACTGATATGCCCATTCCGATACGCACTTTTCAATTACTGGAGCGCTTCGAAGACCTCCGCATTAAGGGAGTTACGGAGCTTCGTACCCGTGAGACTTCCGCTGGAAAATGCGCGTTCAGCTGGAGTTGCAGACCCTTGGATAGCTAGATAGTCGCGAGCCATCTGGCGCAGTGTTGGGCGTGAGGTATTATGCTTCAGACAAAGTCAGGTTGAATTTCTGCGCATGATTCCGATCACTCACACCCCACCAGTGTAGTACATTATCCGTCGTTTCCAGCGGAGATGACAGATAACCTCTCAGCTCATCTCGAGGTTGTGCGCGGGCTCGTTTTTCTTGTTGGACCGACTTTACAGCCTCCATCAAGAAAGAACTTCCATACCGCTGAAGAGAGTGGGGTTGAACGTTGCAACATTGAACAGCCGAGGGTGTTGGGGCAGAAGATTCGATTTCGCTTTCTGCCTCACCGGCAGCATAGTACTCGT